CATCCTTTGCTTACTAACACCTTTAGGAGCTTTCCCTGATCTCTCAGAAAGAATCAGCTGTATTTTCACAGTACACAGCAAACATCTCTACTTAACAAGCGTGCAAGCCTTCCCTTCATATTATGCAAGTTAGCCACTTGCATATTAGCTGCTTTCACCACTCAAGAACATGAACACTGTTGTTCATAAGACAAACTGAGGCCTTAACTGAGGATTAAGGATTTTGGTGGGAATGAGACAAAAGCAAAGAACTGTTAGGACTGGGGTACCAGGGAGCAATATAATGGAATTAGTTCACATCGTTGTTCAGTGGGGCAAGTCACACTTGTGTATATTTCAGGCATCATCATCTCAGATGGTCTTTTGAGTAGATACCAGTATTTTAGTTTCAGGTAAGTTGTTTGAACTGAAATAGGACTCTCAGAATACGGGTGAAAATATAGTGAATATGACCCTTTTTAAAAGGTTCGGTGACAGTTAGGGCTTCTTTCAGATGAGCAGATGTTCAAAAAATGGCTCTAGCCTCAGAATGAAAACCAGTTAAGAAACAAAGTTAGAAAACAGGATCCTTGTTGTTAACAGGCCAACTGGACAGAGCAACAACATAATTCCAAACCCTAATTTCTCCTTGTAGGAGCCAACTTTCTGTGAAATCATTAGCAGTTTTTTGTCTGGATAGATGGAAAGGTGGGTAGGTGGATAGATGGATAAGTTAGACAGACAGATAAGGTTAGGTTAATATGTAGCTAAAATAAATGCACTAAATTTTCAGCAGCAGTTATCTGTGTTTTGGGACTTTGAGGGGTTTTATTTCCATCATTTTCTTTCCATTTTCCCCAATTTTTTATGGAAATGTGTCTTATTTTTATAATCAGAAAAGGTGACTAAAACATATGTGTCTATGTAATATCGTTTCTTCATTTGACTAAACCAATAATTCTCAGCCCAGGGCAATTTTGTCCCCCAAATAGCCTTTGGTGATGTCTAGAGACATGTTTGATTGTCACAACTGAAGAGTGAGCTATTGGCATCTAGTGAGTAGAGGTCAGGGATGTTTCTAGACATCCTACAACATACACAATGGTTTCTAAAATTCAAATGTTTTAGAAAATATAACCTCTGCCTCAGAATTAACCAAGTAAAAATAACTTCTGGACTGATGAATATTGGAAAAGATTGTGTTTCTTGTTTAAGTTTTATATAATTGACTAGCAAGATCCTCGTGTCTTAACAAAGTCTAATAAATATATATTGGGTTGAGTTGAATTTAAAGTGTATAGTTCTTTTGAACACAATTAATATAGGTACAAAGATATAGTGTAAATTTTTGAATTAATAATTAAGAAGTATATTTTTCTAGACCCATCTTGAATCAAGAATTAACGTTGATTTATTCAGTAGGAGGTTAGTGGGCATCTATCACACTGTCAGATGTTCTGTGGAGTATAAAAGTAACATAAAAAGCATTCCCTGACCTTGAGGAATTTGCAATCTAACCAAAAAGATAGAACATGTCCTGAGAAAGTCATTTTGTTCCAGAGCAAAACAACACATGTTTGTGTGCCAAAATGAGTAGTAAATTAGTGCAATAAGAGTTTAAGAAACAGAAAAAAAGTCAGTATGTCTGGAATTGTCAAAAATGGCTATAAGACAAAGAAGAGAATTGGACTAACAGACTGATGGGTAGAATTTCAACATAAGCAGCAATCAGGGGAAGGTATTGAAACGCAGAGAAAATAGCATGAACAAAACTTAGAAAGACTGATCATAAGCAGGTTGATAAGGAGTGAGAGAACTACCTGGCTGAGCAGGTATTAGATTCAAACTAATTCAAAGCAGTTCGGATTTAATTATGGGGAAACCTATTTAATTATGGTGAAAATCAAATGGGTATTATTAGTAATACTCTACAGAGTGAAGTAAGAAAGAGAAAAACAAATATCATATATTGATGTATATATGTGGGATCTAGAAAAATGGTATAGATGATCTTATTTGCAAAGCAGAAATAGGGTCACAAACATAGAACAAATATATGGTTAGCGAGAGGGAAAGCAGGTGGTGGGAGGAATTGGGAGATGGGGATTGACATATATACTCTATGAATACTATGTATAAAATAGACAACTAATGAGAACATACTGTATAGTGCAGAGAACTTTACCTAATGCACTGTGCTGACTTGTATGGGAAGAAAGTCCAAAAGTGAGGAAATATATGTATATGTATGGCTGATTCATTTTGCTGTATAGTAGAAATTAATGGCTCAAATGGTAAAGAGTCCGCCTGCAGTGCAAGATACCTGGGTTCAGCCCCTGGGTCGGGAAGATCCCCTGGAGAAGGAAATGGCAACCCACTCCAGTATTCTTGCCTGGGAAATCCCATGGAGGGAGGAGCCTGGCAGGTTGGGGTCACAAAAGAGTCAGACATGACTTAGTGACTAAACACCAACAATACAACATTGTAAAGCAACTATACTCCACTGAAAATTAAGAAAAAATGAAAACCCTGTAAAATATCTAAACCTGTGAGTGGGATAAACATGCCATCCCCAAAGCTGTGTTTTCAGTTTTCATCACAGAGTGATTATTTGACCTCAAAGGACTTAGCTTCATCTTCCCACACGTACAGACCTTTCTACTATATAAAGCAACAACCTGGCCTACATAATGTACCTAATATTCCATAAAAGTGGCCAAAAGCAGAGACAAGCCAGATTTAGCCATAGCCTTAGGTAGCATTTTCCCCACTGTGACTACAAAGATAGCAGGAGTCCCCATTTCAGAAGAGAAGTCCTCTAATTAAAGAATGATTTTAATTACTTTAACTAATATCCTAATATTATGTTTTTGTCAAGAGAATCAGAGAACAAGTATTCCATTTGGTTAAGGAGTCTTACAGAAGATAGAAATGAATAATTAATGTTGTTCAGAATTGTTAAACTTAATTCAGTACACATGGATGTAGAGCTAGTAATTAGTTTCAAGAAAAAATAGATCATTGGCTCAAAAAAAAAGCAAAAACTTGCCTTATACTTAAATGTACTCTTCAGAACCCTTTCTAATCATTAGAATAAACTTATCTTTCCTGACTGGAGACCCAGAAGAAATAACATTGGAGAATGAATCAGCTTTATACTGTGGACAAGAAGAGCTCCAATGCAATAACAATTGATAATTAATGAAAAAGAATTCCCAAGAAGAATGAACCAATGTGTCTTTAAAATAAAAAATTAACATTTATACCATTAAACCTATAGATACTGTAGTCAAATTAACTATAAAATGAGAATTCTTAGATACCCATAAAAGAGGTTTTGGTAAACGTGAACTTACCTATAAAATTTGTTGGCTGGGAAAATGTTTAGCTGCATATAATAACCTCAATTACAGTGGCTTAACCAAACAGAGATTTTGTTTTCTTTAAAGAGAATTCAAGAGGAAAGTAGGCCTTGGTTCTTATTGATGGCATCATGATGCCATTTAGAACAAAGGTCCTTCTGATTTTCTAATAAGCGTCCTTAGATGACTTCCAATTGCATTTCATTGCCCAGAAGTGCATCATGTGAACCACCCCTAGCTGAAAGGTAGGCTGAGAAATATAGGTTTTAATTGTGTGCATTGCAGCCCCAAATAAAACTTAAAAAGAAGTAGAAGCATTATAGAGACCAATTAGCAAACTCTTTTCAAAACACAAAATCAGTGATTATGCTAAGACCCTAACCATTACAATATGGTTAAAGCACTGCTAAGTGAATTGGGTAACACATAGCGCCAACATCCAGGTACCACACAAGTCTATTTTCTAGGATTGCTTAAACTAGGTCATTTTGTGCCTTTAAACTACATTTTTGTCTAATGAATTTCTTGGAGAACAGCCCAAGCACAGCTTGTATCCATTCATAGAGAATGTGTGTAGTGTTGATGATCCTACAAGAGCAAGAGTGATCCATGAAGATTTCCAGTCAGTCAGAAAGTTTCCAGTTGTTACTCCTGGGTGATAACTGACAGAGCTAATCCAGAGAAGTGAAAAAAAGGGGTAATTGAAGGTATGGTATCATACTTTTATTTTCCCAGCTGCTTTCTCTCAGTTATTTTAGTAAAGAAGCAAGTGGTGGTATCTTAAGAGCTGTCAAGCTCCTAAAAAAAAAAAAGCTCAGTATCTCACTGTATCTGGCACATAATAGGTGCTCAAGGAATAGTTCTTGACTAAACCTTTATCTGTTTACCCTTATCAAAATGTGTACAGAAACCGGCTAAATGGAAGCATTCTCCATCCACTCTAATGGAGCAATCAAACATTTAGTCATCACCCACTCTGTGTGGATAAAAGCTCTCTGAGAAACTGCTTGCTATGATTTCTCCCCAAGAAGGTCTTATTCTGTATTTTGTGTGACCTGGCAGATTTTTTCTGAATCACATCCAATGTTAATTAATCAAATCTATAGGAATTGGTTTCTAAGCTATTTGGCTATCAAGCAGATTATTAACATTGTAAAATCAATTTAAAGCCATTTTCAAGTGTTTAAAATCCCTTTATAATTTCCCAAATCAGCATATGTCAGTTTGAGATGGTTGGGGACTATCAGTCAATACATCAGTTGATCAAGCACTGAATTGATGTTGAGCAGCATTTGAAGATGGGTGAATAACAGCCCTTGCCCTTGATGATTTATGATCCATTTAGAGAGACAATAAGTGTGCAGGGGGAAAATCATGAAATCGTGTCACATTGCATTTACAATTTGTCAAATTAATAGAAAAGACAATAAATGATTCTTTTTGCCCAGAATACCAATTAGTTTGGACTTGACTAAAGTAGAAACATGAATCAAACATATCCTGGTATGTAACTGAAATTTGAGACCCTGATAGGAGTATCACAGCACTTTGAAGATTGGAGTGTGACATCCTGGTTAGCATAGATAAGCTATAAAGAATCCACTTGAACCACAGGAGGCAATGAAAACAATTGTTCTTTTCCTTCTCTCTTTAAATTAGGTCATGGAACGAAAGGAGTATTTGAGCTTCTATCTGGATGGCGGAGAACTAAAGAGAATTTGCCCTTCAAAGACAGGGTAGCGGATGCCTATTCGGATGTGATGGTGACCTATACCATGACCAGCTCCCTGTACTTTATCACCTTTGGCATGGGTGCCAGCCCGTTCACCAACATAGAGGCAGTGAAGGTCTTCTGTCAGAACATGTGTGTCTCCATCCTGTTGAACTACTTCTACATTTTCTCCTTCTTTGGCTCCTGTCTGGTCTTCGCTGGCCAACTAGAGCAAAACCGCTACCACAGCATCTTTTGCTGTAAGATCCCTTCTGCAGAATACCTGGACCGCAAGCCTGTGTGGTTCCAGACAGTGATGAGCGATGGACATCAACAGACATCGCATCACGAGACGAACCCCTACCAGCACCACTTTATTCAGCACTTCCTCCGTGAACATTACAATGAATGGATTACCAATATCTACGTGAAGCCATTTGTGGTCATCCTCTATCTCATCTACGCCTCCTTCTCCTTCATGGGGTGCTTGCAGATCAGTGATGGAGCCAACATCATCAATCTACTAGCCAGCGATTCCCCAAGCGTTTCTTTTGCCATGGTTCAGCAGAAATATTTCAGCAACTACAGCCCTGTGATAGGATTCTATGTCTACGAGCCCCTTGAGTACTGGAACAACAGTGTCCAGGAGGACCTTCGGAGACTCTGTAGTGGCTTCACTGCAGTGTCCTGGGTGGAGCAGTATTACCAGTTCCTGAAAGTGAGCAACATCAGTGCCAATAACAAGAGTGACTTTATTAGTGTCCTGCAAAGTTCATTTTTAAAAAAGCCAGAATTCCAGCATTTTCGAAACGATATCATCTTCTCCAAGGCAGGAGATGAAAACGACATTATTGCTTCTCGCTTGTATCTGGTGGCCCGGATGAGCAGAGACAAACAGAAGGAAGTCATAGAAGTGCTGGAAAAGTTGAGGCCTCTGTCCTTGTCAAAGAGCATCCGGTTCATCGTGTTCAACCCCTCCTTCGTGTTCATGGACCATTACAGCTTATCTGTCACTGTGCCTGTGCTGATTGCAGGCTTTGGTGTCCTCCTGCTGTTAATCCTGACTTTTCTCCTAGTGATCCACCCTCTGGGAAACTTCTGGCTAATTCTTAGCGTCACCTCAATTGAGCTGGGCGTTCTGGGCTTAATGACACTATGGAACGTCGACATGGATTGCATTTCTATCTTGTGCCTTATCTACACTTTCAATTTTGCCATTGACCACTGTGCACCACTGCTTTACACGTTTGTATTAGCAACTGAGCACACCCGAACACAATGTATAAAAAGCTCCCTTCAAGAGCATGGGACAGCCATTTTGCAAAATGTTACTTCTTTTCTTATTGGGTTGGTTCCCCTCCTATTTGTGCCTTCGAACCTGACCTTCACACTGTTCAAATGCTTGCTGCTCACCGGGAGTTGCACACTTCTGCACTGTTTTGTTATCTTACCTGTGTTCCTAACCTTTTTCCCCCCTTCTAAAAAGCACCACAAGAAAAAGAAACGTGGCAAACGAAAGGAGAGAGAGGAAATCGAATGCATAGAAATTCAAGAGAACCCTGATCACGTCACGACCGTCTGAAGGGTGTAGACTAATGGATTATTTTTCTTTTCCAGTACTGCACAATGATGCAGGGCCGATAAAGCTCAGACCTCAGCTGCTTGGGCTGGCCAGGGGTAACAAGGCAAGGCAGATGAAGAGTGAATTATTTATGACACGTCAAGGTGTCCACTTCCAGGGGGGCAAGAGGGACTCAAAGAAGGGTAAAAAGCTCTTTGAAACCTTGTTCTCCACTAAAGATAAGTTTCTGGATGTGATCTTAGAGCTCGTCCAAGGAACGGACAAATCAAAGGAGTGTTAGAAGGCCAAAGGAAAAGGCTACTTTTAAAAATAAAATGCTTAGGAGAGATTGAGTAGAGAAGATGGGGGCCTCCAAATAGCAGAGAAGACTTCAGAAAAGTCAAAATTGCCATGGTACTTTTCATATTTGTTTTTGGAATAGGCTGATCAAAGGAAACCTATGCACTTGGGAAGTACACGTTTAATCCTGTCTTAACCAAAGGACTTCCCGACTCATTTTACATGTACATATATATGTATATATGCCATATATACATATACTTAGATTTGTCTTTAGTGTACATCGATGTCTGTGTGGAGGGAGGTGCCCATTTGCAGGCGGGCTGGACTTTCTTTAGAGAGTCCAATCAGCCTTAGCCAAATCTAGATATGTTAATGGCCACTCTACATCATCTCAAGTGGTGCAACAGCAAGAGCATTGTTCAACTGAGCACTAGGCAAAATAAACAGATATGGGCCCATTAAATTCATACACCATGTTGTCAATCTTTGAGATTCTTGCTTTGGATGACTTTGCAAAAAAACACAAAAGGCATTTGAATTAATTACTATGGGGGCAAGGTTTCAAATCTCATGTTAATGCTAAATAGTTACTATGGCTTTTTATTGGCTTAAAATGGTTCTCTGTATTTGGAAAGGCTGATTTAGCTGCTTTTAGGGAGCTCACCCACTGCAAATGAGCATGTATTGTCCATACAAATGTGTACAAAGGTGCAAAAGTGTGTGTGCGTGAGAGAGAGAGAGAGAAAGTCAAGGTATTCCATAGTTACAGTATTTGCATTTTAGATGGTGAAAATATACTGCCATGGAATATAGATAATGAACATAGGAGAAAGTGGACGTAACTCGGAAACTTGTTGGAGAATCAAATAGAGTAAATGAGCCATCACCATTCATCACATGCCCTCAACTGGTTCTTAGTGTAAAAAAAAATATTCTAATCCTATAAAGTCTCGTGTGTTCCTTGCATTAATATTTGGAACATTAACCCAGGCCACGATCACCACAGTAGTGGTCTCTATATCTACTGCAATATTGTTTTGTAGCTTCTTGTGATATCATTTTTCTTGTTACCTGAAAAGTGCTTGTTGGTTGGCCTGCCTTCTAGGGTGATTGTTGCTCTCCATGAGTGACATAGTAACTAACTGCTGCTGAATTCTCTCTCAAAACAAGTACTGAGGTAAATGTTTTCATTGCGTTAAAATTTACAACTGCTCCCCAGCAGACAGACTCAATCTGTTGGGTGCTTCCTTGGATGAATGCTGTGCTTCCTGTCACAGAAAATTACTAGAAAATGCCTTTTCCCATGCCAAGTGGTAAAATCAGTTAATTTTCAGGTAGGACTTCACAAATGTCCAATGATCATAAAATCTGCTAGTCAACTCTTTTAACTAGAAGAGCACTACTCTCTGCCACCAACTTTGGTTGCATAATTTAAATGAATTTAGAATATTAAAATCTCTAACAAGCAAACAAAAAGCTTCTGGACTCAGGTTCAGAAAAGAGATGGAAACCATCCCATTCTGATTTCAGCATTTAAAAAAAAAAAATGAAATTGGTATGTGAATGAAGTAATGAAACCAAATAAGCATACTTTTACAAATGAAGGATTTACCTGAATATTAAGGGAAAGGAGAACTGTTTCTTTATAGTTTCTTTTTAGTTAAATGAAAAACATTTAACTAAATTTTATTTTATTAAATGGGGAGTTTGTTTTGTCCTACCTTGAGGTTATTGAATTTCTATTGGAAATGATCCATGTCTTCTCAATTGTGTTCATGTGGGGAAAATAGCAATAGATGGAGTATGGAAAATACTTGCCATGACGTAAGATTATTGTTCATACATTATGTGTAAAGTCATGTCACAAATAAGTCTAGCCTTTTGCCTCCTGAGCTGCTCTGCTAGGATGAACTGGTATTTGACACTAGCAGACCTATGGACCTTGGTCTTATATCTGAAAGGGAAGTTTTTGAGGCATTGGGTGTTTGGATGAAGGAGAGGGGACTCTTCTTTCACAGTTGACTCATCATTTGTGAAGATTGGTTTTACATCCTTTCCAAAAGATGGGAGGTCATCAGCTGAGAAATTCCATTAGCTATCAGTCCATTTCTTTGTAAAATGTGCCATACTCCATTATTTTACCACCTTTTAAAAAAGCTTGCCTATTTGAGTCATTTTTTTTTCTTGATTTCCTTAGACAATTCCACATGCAAAGAAGATTGGCAGGTTGGTTTATAAAGAAAGCATCAAGCATGCCAGTTGCCAAATCCATGTGGGAATAGTGGCATAGCTACCCCACCACTGGGGCAGTTCTAATATCATGCCCCCATCATTGAGACAGTCTCTATTTGGACAGGGAAAACAGTTCTTTTTTAGGTTAGATCTTCAAGGATCAAAGCAACTAAGAAAAGTAATTTCTCATTGTTCAAGTGACTAGAGGTGTGGAATTTTGGAAGGGACATTATCTTTTCCAGGACACCATGGTACTCTTTAGTGAACTGCAGCAATAATTTATTGAAATGGAATTTCTTGTTCTGGAAGAGTTAATATTACCACACAAAATGCCCTAACTTAGTCTTTGGAAGCAATTTAAGTCTAGGAAGAATGTAGAATGTAACTGAGCATCATCTGACCTCCCAACCTCACTGTGAAACATTCATTTCTAAGAATTCCATTCACTGAATGCCAAGATGCATCCTAAAATAGAAGATCATGATTTGCAAGTGACACCAAACCTCTGCCTTTATCAGTAGCTGGTGTGCAACTCTTCAAGTTTTTCAAGTTTACTCCCAGTCTTTAGTCCATTTGTGAAATATTGATGGTGTTCAAATTAGAAACTTTTCTACTTCTAGAAGATGACCCATCAAGTCCTAGAAAAGAAGAAACCTATGGGAAATATCTCAGATGTGTGGAATATTTTATTTTGCTGAAACATGATTTTCCCCTTAAAGTGAGAGAATTTTAAAGTTTGCAAAAACCAAAGTCCAAACCCTTTCTGAATTTAAACTGGAATGTGGATTTGTTTCCTCCCACTTGAATTTAAATTTGAATTAGAGAGCACTGTAAAAGCTTCACTCTCCATTATGGTTACTAAAGCTTCAAAGAGGTACTCACCTAAATGATATAAAAGAGATTTGGCTAACAGATTCTTTCCCTCTTATCATTAAAGGTAATCATATGCCAACTTAGACCTTGCACAAGTTTTTTAAATGAAAAGTATACTTAAATGTCATCCCATGAATTCTTTCAGGGACCAGTGAACCTCTTTGAAGGTTGTGCATGAATATTCTATGAAAGAATTATTCTCCACTGTGGCTGTATCATGTGAGTGTTCCTTTCCCATTTTATTCCTATTTGTTTCCACAGACTTTTGGCTTTACCTTGTGAGATTAGAAGAAAAATTAAGACAAATGAAGCTCCTACCATGCCCTAATAGCCATTCTTGATTGTTGAATTCAAGAGGATGAGAGCTTTGTCCATTTTGTAATTACCCATTGCACTTTCCCATAACAAGCTGATCCTCCTAGGCTTGTGGTTAGAGCTAGAGATTAACTATTGCCATTCAGAATTACATGTATTTTTTATAAGTTGACTGTAAATATTATAATTACAGTCATATATTTTTATGACCAAATAGTTATGAATGCCTAACACTATGCATGCATTGTTACTAATAGTACACAGACTTTTAAAGACACTATTTTCATGGTGATTGCAACTTTTAGTAAAATTCTATCACCTATTCATAAATGCCTTGTAGGTTTTGGTCCCAAGGGCCTGAAATTCACAGAAATTTCCATCCCAGGAGGAACAGTTTAAAAGCTGCCCTCCCTGGATCTCAATGGCAGCAACCTCTTCTAGAATGTCCTCTGGAAAATCCTGGAGAATAAGTCTGGCTTCCAGGTAAAGGACATAGCAGATTTTATGTTAGTCAGTGATTAAGCACACTATAGTGTCCTGTGTTTGCTAATCTCAAAGTGAACCATACCAAGCCTTGAGAATGGAATTTTGGTGTTGTCTCCTGTGGACTGTGGAACTCAGTCATTTCTTCGACCTCTTTCTAGAGGAATCCTTCTGTTCAGTCTATTTTGTTGATGTTTGCAAATCGTACTGATAATCCTTTCAAATGTGAGCCTGAAAACTGTCATTTATACCAAACTAGACTTAGGAGCACTTTCATTCCCTTTAAAAAACAAAAAACAAAACAAAGCAAAGACACTTGCTTTTTCTGTGTTATAAAAAAAAAAAAGTGGCGACAAGTTTTATGACACTGACTCAAAACCTATCTAGCGCTGAATTGGCATGCCCTTGAAATCTCCCCATCTTCAATCTAAATATAAAACTCAGCATCATCACTGTGGTGCAGGCATTTATCCCAATCTTTTAAGCAGTGATTTGCCAAATGGTTGTGGAGAGGGGAAATGAGCTAAATATTTTTCTATGGTTTGTCTTCAGGATTATGACAGCAAATATATTCACCAAATGAGAGCAGTGAAATCATGAATGAGAGCAAAAAGCCTGTTTGCATCAGGTTCAGCACAGGAGGGACTATATATAGACATCAAAACAGCAAATTACTTTGATTTCTAAACTGAATGGCCAAGGTTTGATCCACCATGATGTTATAGTTGGAAGGGCAAGGATACTGTTCTGTGCTTGAAGTGTGGAACTAGATCAGGCAGCAATGGAAATAAGATTGAAAGGATATTGAGAAATAA